TATTACCAATATTGAGATTTGAATCTGAAAAGAACTTTTCTAAACTATTAATAATTTAAAAAATTCAACCATCTTTTTATTCTTTCTATGGAAAATGATATTACAAAATAATTATCTGTAGAAAGACAATCACACAGTATGCAGCCAAACTATATAGAAAATATTATAAAGATGTGATGTGTTAGGAAGTTAATTAATAAAAATATGTTTTTTCTTGGTATTTTCTTTTTGAAATTGTAATTTGTTATGATTTATTTTCTTATTATAAATAAATATTCATTTTTATAATAAATTTTGTTTTTGGGAATTTCTAAAGATTCATTTTATTATAAAGCCTCACACTTTAAATTATGATTTAGGTTGAAAAGTTATTTTACCTGCCCAAAGAAAGGGAGCCCACGTCTGTAATGTGAATCCACTTTTATTAAACTCAGTTTGCTCAGTATATTTGTGATTTTACATGATTCATGCCCAGTTAATTCCAACTCTAAAAAAGAAATAAGGAAAGCTGAATTGTTCTGTGTATTCAAAACTCACCTGTTACCTCTACTCAGCTTCACTTCATCATAACAAAGTACCATCCATATTCTTTACGTTATTCTTTTGGGAATTTTTTCACATTTAGAAGATAGAAGCTATTTGACAATGACTCCATCAGCTTCAGCTTCATATCAAAATGTACTGATATCTATAATTTCTCAATTCCTTTGAGAAATTTTACAAGTACCTGTCCTTGTTCCACATATGTTCTTGATGAATTCCTTTTCATCTGCTCTCTGATCTTATTCCATCTTTTTTCTGCCTCTCTCACTTCCCTGCTCCACACCTACAACTTTCTGCATAGGGGATTCTTCACTTTAGCCTAAAAGTATGCTTACATTTCTATCACAAAATACCTTCCCAGCAAGATCTTTCTTTTCATGCATAATCTATCAAAGTATAGTCAACACCTGGTGATTTTCTCTTCAGTGAAGCATAATCTATATTTTGTCCTCATCATCTAAAATACCACTCTATCAAATTCTAAATGATCCCTTAATTGCCCCAATATAGTATTCTTGTCTCAGACTTCATCATATATGAACTGTTAGCAGAGCTTCATACATAAGCACTATTGAAACTATTCCTTCCAGTAACTTCTAAGAAATTGTTCTATCTTATTTTTCCCCTATATTTAGGACTTCTAATTTTATTATGCCGACTTATTTGATACTGTCTCTCTCCTAAATGTACTTGTTTCTATTCTTATACCCCACTTTGTCCTGTCTCTGTCTTAAACTTAGCAATGTGAAATGAGCTTTCTTTCAATTCCATTAACTCTTTTCATAGGAAGATGTGCACACAACGTGCAATGACTCCCAGATATAAATCTCTGGTTGAGATTTTTTTCTCCCTCTCTTTTTAAATTATCAGCTGGATAAATCTCCTTCCATTCTGATATTCCAAATTATTTCTAACTATCTTTGACTTATTCTTATCACAATAGCTATATCTCAAGCACTCCTTATTTTGGTTAATGGAATTTCCATTTCCCATGCCACAAATTTTGAATCTTTGAATTCTCTGTATCTTTTCCTTTCATATCAGATCTTTCAACAAGATCAGTTGATTTTACTTTAAAAATACCAACAAATCTTATTCCTCATTTGCATATATTTATAGTTCTTCTAGTGTAGGGTAATATCATCTTTCACCTGGGTTGCCCCAGTAATCTAATGTTTCACAACATAACAAATTTTTCATCTAGCCTGTCCTCATGGCTGCTAGAATTATTTTTTACAAATATGTCAACTTATTAGGTTATCCTTCTCCTCAAAAATATCTGAAGCTATCCAAAGATCTTCAGAATAAAGTCTGAACTCCTTACAATATGATTGACTTTCCTCCACAGCCTAGCATCAGCCTACATTTTCAAATTCTTTCCAGTCTGAATACGTTTGTTCTCAGCTTATCATCATTTCCCCAGTCATCACTATTTTTCAAAATATTACCCATTCTATCAGAATCAGCTTAAATGCTACTTTATCTATAACACTTTTTTTCTGGCTCTACTTCTATTAATTACCTCTTTCTTCATATTCATTTGATCCTTAGTTTTCTCTTTTAGTGCAGAAATTTTATGATGGTTATATGTACATATATATAATTTCATATAACCATCAACAACTTGCTCATAGGCAAGTTCAGGTTGAAGCTGAAGAAAATTAGAACAAGCCCACGAGAGCCAAAGTACAATCTTGAGTGTATCCCACCTGAATTTAGAGACCATCTTAAGAATAAATTTGACACATTGAACACTAATGATCGAAGACCAGATAAGTTGTGGAATGACATCAAGGACATCATACATAAAGAAAGCAAGATGTCATTAAAAACACATGAAAGAAAGAAAAGACCAAAGTGGATGACAGAAAAGACTCTGAAACTTGCTTTTGAACATTGAGTGGCTGAAGCAAACAGAAGAAATGATGAAGTAAAAGAGCTGAACGGAAGATTTCAAAGGGTAGCTCAAAAGACAGAGTAAAGTATTATAGTGACATGTGCAGAGACCTGGAGTTGGAAAACCAAAGGGAAATAACATACTCGGCATTTGTTAGGCTGAAAGAACTGAAGAAAAAATTCAAGGCTTGAGTTGCAATAATGAAGGATTCTATAGTCAAAATACTGAATGACACAGGAAGCATCAAAAGAAGATGGAAGGAATACAGAGTCACTGTACCAAAAAGAATTGGTTGACGTTCAATCATTTCAGGAGGTAGCATATGATCAAGAGCTGACGATACTGAGAGAAGAAGTCCAAGCTGCACTGAAGACATTGACAAAGGACACGACACCAGAAATTGATGGAATATCAGCTGAGATGTTTCAACAAAGGAATATAGCACTGGAAGTGCTCATTCATCTCTGCCAGGAAATTTGGAAGACAGCTACCTGGTCAACTGACTAGCAGAGATTCATATTTATGCCTATTCCAAAGAGAGGAGATCCAAAAAAATACAGAAATTATGGAAAAATGTCATTAATATCACACACAAGTAAAATTTTAATGGAGATTATTCAAAAGTGGTTGCAGGGATAACGAGGGGTATCATTGCTAATGTCAGATGGATCCTGGCTGAAAGCAGAGAATATCAAAAAGATGTTTACCTGTGTTTTATTGACTATGCAAAGGCATTCGACTGTGTGTATTATAACAAATTATGGATAACATATCGAAGAGTAGGAATTCCAGAAGACCTAACTGTGCTCATGAGGAACCTGTAGTTAGACCAAGAAGCAGCCGTTTGAACAGAACAAGGGGATACTGTGTGGTTTAAAGCCAGAAAAGGTGTGTGTCAGTGTTGTATCCTTTCACCATACTTACTCAGTCCTTATGCTGAGCAAATAATCCGAGAAGCTACACTATATGAAGAAGAATGTGGCATCAGGATTGGATGAGGACTCTTTAACAACCTGTGTTATGCAGATGTCACAACCTTGCTTGCTGAGAGTGAAGAGGACTTGAAGCACTTACTGATGAAGATCAAAGACTCTAACCTTCATTATGGATTACATCTCAACATAAAGAAAACAAAAATCTTCACAACTGGACCAATAAGCAACATCATGATAAACGGAGAAAAAATTAAAATTGTCCAGGATTTCATTTTACTTGGATCTACAGTCAATGCCCATGGAAGCAGCAGGCAAGAAATCAAATGACACATTGCATTGGGCAAATTTACTGCAAAAGATCTCTTTAAAATGTTAAAAAGCAAAGATGGCACTTTAGGGACTAAGGTGCACCTGACCCCAAGCCACAGTGTTTTCAAGTGTCTCATATGCATGCGAAAGCTGGGCAATAAATAAGAAAGTCCGTAGAAGAATTGACACCTTTGAATTATGATGTTAGTGAAGAATATTGAATATACCATGGACTGCCAAAAGAACGAACAAGTCTGTCTTGGAAGAAGTACAGCCCGAATACTCTTTAGAGGTGAGGATGGTGAGACTTCATCTCACATACTTTGGACATGTTATCTGAAAGGACCAATCCTTGGAGAAGGATATCATGCTTGGTAAAGTAGAGGGTCAGCAAAAAAGAGGAAAACCCTCAATGAGATAGATTGACACAGTGGCTGCAACAATGAGCTCAAGCATAACAACGGTTGTAAGGATGGCACAGAACTAGGTAGTATTTCCTTCTGTTGTACATAGGGTCGCTACGCGTTGGAACTGACTAGATGGCACCTAACAACAACATAACAATATGTAATTCCACTTTTAGATTTTTAATTCCTTGAAAGCAGCTACTATGTCGTTTTCATAATCCCCAGCAAATATAACATTTTACATAGAATGGAAGTTTTATAAATGTGTACCAAGTTAATAAATATTTCAAAATAATACAAACCTGTTCCCTCCTCTTTGATCTTGCCTTCCACTTGTATTGACATGTCATATCCTCTTTGCCTCAGCTGAAACATTTTAGTGTTTACGAGTTGTGTGAAACAGCCTTTATTGTCTGCCTGAAGAGAAAGAAAAAAATATCCTCTTATTTGTCATCAGAAACATTGTTAATGGTCATAGTAAGAAATTTTACAAACATTCGAGTCATTCTTTGGTGCTCATCCTTCCCAAGCCCAGTAATTACATGAAGTATTCATTTCCAATCTTTGCGTTTCTCTCCTCTCTCCTAAAAACCTACACCAAGTTTCCACCATATTAAACTTCCTAGAGTTTCCAAACGTGCCACAGCATTTTGTAATTCCATCTCTTTGCATACGTTGTTCCTCAAACAAGGACTTTCTTTCTCCCATTCTTACCTTGGCCAACACTTAAACCAAAAACAAAATCCTACTAGTTGCTGTGGAACTGATCTTAAGTCAAGAGACCCCATGTATATCGGATCATAACTGCACCGATTTTTTGGAAGTAGATCCCCAGGCCTTTCTTCCAAGGCACCTCTGCGTGAACACAGATTTCCAACTTTGCAGTTAGCAGCCGGGGAACTAACTGTTTGCACCACCCAGGGACTTGGCCAACACTTACTGCTCTTCAAAACTCTACTCAGACTAAAGTCTTCTAAGAGGCCTTCTGTAAGCAGCCACACCTAAATATCAGTCAGGGATTCTATTTTGTTAACTATATTTTTCCAGTGTCTAGGACATTAATAAGAACATATATATTTCCAAACTAAATATTAGGTTCCATGTTTTAATTTCTCTTGTTTATTAATGTTTATCTTGGTAGCCCACTCAGCACCCTGGCCTCTTATTTATTTACTGTCTGCAGCTTCAATAATTTTTTTTTTTCATATCCCTACAGTACTTGCTCACACTGCCACACCTCGGATTTTAAGTATTCTTTTTCTGAAATCACTAATTTATGCATTCCATTTTTTACTACAGCTTATTCTACTTTCAGTTGTTTCACTTAATTATTCTTCTTATTATACCTCTTCTTTGGTATAATTGTGGCCTCCAGTCCATTGTCCCTTTATGTCTCCCTCCTCCTCAGCTTACTGCTGGTTTAATATTGTTCCCTGAGCAGTTTAGATTTTACGACTAGCCAAGTTCTTAACACCTGTCATGTTTCTTCTGTTTGACAGAAGTCAACCTGAGACACATCCTTTTAGCCCCCTATGACTGGAGTGTTGATTGCTGCTGAAAGGAAATTACAAAATTGGCCAAATTAATGCTGTCATAGTTCAAGCTCCCCACATTTAAGCACACTCCTAACACTGTCAGGCAATCTCACAATGTTTCCCTTACTCCACAATTTTCCACATTGACAATTTCAATCACTCTTCACTGTTGTATTGTATTCACTATTTTAATCCAAGAGAAAACAAGATCTGGTATTAGTGCCCTGGAGAGAGTGGTTTCCACATACCTGTTGGCTGAATTCATCACAGATACTTTGTGGATGTTTGCCAAGGCAGGTGGAACCGAATCGTGAATATTTTCTGCATACATTAATTGTCACCAGACCAGGGACAGGCTTTCCATATGTATATCTATAACAATAGAGGGGTCATACAAAAACAGATATTTAACATAAATAACACAGACATTTCTTCACCTTATTTGATCCATTCAGATATCCATCTTATTCATCTAAAGAATTACATTAAGGAATATCTAAAGAGTGTATTTCTAAACCCTCCTTAACTCATGTGTATTTTAAGAGAATAAACGAGAAAAATTAGATAGGAAAGCTGTAGCTATAAACAAAAATGCTGTATATGAACAATGTCAGAATGAGTCAGTTTGATTTGCCAAACATGATGAAAGAATATGATGCAAAGTCGAACTTGGTCTATTGGTTCTTGACATCTGTTTTGTGGATCACCTACACTGAAAAAGAGGACCCCTCGATGAGATGGACTGACACAGTGGCTGCAACAATGGGTTCAAACATAGCAACGATTGTGAGGATGGCGCAGGGCAGGGTAGTGTTTTGTTCTGTTGTACATAGTGTTGCTATGAGTTGGAACCGGCTCTACAGCACCTAACAACAGCAACACTGAAATTACCTGGGGTACATGTTGAGATGCAGATTCCTGAGTCTTTCCTCAAATTTATGTTTACAATCTCTGGAGGTGGGACCAGAGACTTACATTTTGACTAAGCACTCCCATAGAATCTTATACGCTTTCCAGTTTGAAACCTATTGCCTTAGTCCAAACTGTGAAGTAGATGAGGTTTGTCCCCACTCCCCAAGCTTCCTGTTTTTATGATCCTTTTCCCCTTCAAATCCCTATAAGTAATGGTAAGTAATAAATCATTTAGTAAATTTAAATCACTTTGTTGAATCTTATCTTTAAATCTGTATCAAAAGGCTTTCCCTCTGGTGGAAAAATTTAAAACATCAAGGCTAGCAGAGGATGAAAACAAGTTTTTCATGCTGTTTTCAAAAACAAGAAGGGAAGTTTTTCTTCTCTGTGGGCGTGTAGGATGCTCTATTACACACTAAAAGGCAACCAGCAAAGAAATCACTGTAGTATTTATTTTTTAATTCTGCCATGTACATATGAGGCCAGTGGGGGTCCAGTGGTAGCGTTCTCATCTTTCATGTGGGAGACCTGGGTTAGAGTCCCAGCCTCATGTACAGCCACCATCATCTGTCAGTGGATGTAGGCATGTTGCTGTGATGCTGAACAGATTTCAGAGGAGCTTCCAGACTAAGACAGACTAGGAAGAAAGGCCTGGCTATCTACTTCCAAAACAGCTGCTAATGAAAACCCTGTGGATCACAAGGGTCCTATCCCATAGTGCCTGGAGTTGCCATGGGTTGGGGGCAGACTCATCGGCAGCTAACAAAAACAACAACCATATATATCTGGCATTTAAAGTAAAGTATTTGCTTAACTTCACCCCTACTACTTTTCCTGTTTCTCCATAGTTAAGAAATTGAGAGCAATAAAGAAAATGCAGACTGTAGGATGCAGCATAGCACAGCAGTTATGATCATGAGCTCCAGAGTCAGATGCCCTATATTCACTTTTCCTTTTCATAAAACAGACAATAAGCGTGTTGTTATGAATGAGAAAAAAATCTATGGAGCGCTCTTAGCACAGTGTCTGGGATATATAAACGTGTTTCATAAAAATAGATTTATTTTTATTTTTTTTTAAATTATGGAGGCAATCTAGAAAAGTGGTGAAGAGTTCAGGATCTGGAGCTAGACTGCTAAATTCCAGTTCTACCATTTACTATCTATAGGAACTTGAGCTTCCCCCTCTCCAATCCTCTGTGTTATAATTTCCTCATTTGTAAAATGAGGATAATAATTATTCCCCTACATCAGGGTTAGTGTAAGAATAAAATATGTTAATAAGTGCAAGGTGCTTATAACAGTGTCTGACAGTGTTTAAAAATGATTTTATATTAGTAGTAGAAATGTCAGAGTTCCTGGGTGGTGCAACCAGTTAAGCACTTGACTGCTAACTGAAAAGTTGGAGGTTCAAGTCCACCCAGAGGCAACTCTGAAGAAAGGCCTGGTGTTCTACTTCAGAAAAGATCAGCCATTAAAAAAACCCTAATGGAGCACAGTTCCACCCTGCCACACATGGGGTCCCTATGAGTCACAGCCAACTTGACAGCAACTAGAAAAACAATAGAAGTGTCATATGCTACCACCCCCACTTCCTAGTGTAGGCTCAGGTAAGCTAGAGAGAAAGTTATTCCTTCTTTAATTAAAATACTTCAAAGTCCAATCACTGTTACTTGCAATAAATCTACTGAAGTAGAGTGGGGAAATAGAAATGAGATGAAAAAATGCAACTCACAGGCCACAGACAGATACTGTAAATCCTTCATCTAGGAAACCAATTGTCTTAGGCATTTTCACTTGGACGTCAAATTTGGGCAAAACTGTTGTCAACAGAAGAGAAAAAGAGGTGAGAGTGATAGGAGATCTTGTCAGTATTAGTAATGGAGTCTATTACAGAATCTTATAGCATAGAATCACATGAAATGATTTCAACTGCAATAAGGAACATTGAGGCCACTACTGACAAAGTAGATGCCATCCATTACCATGGCAGTTTTTGTATTATGTCAGCTTGGTTTAGGTGGTCTTACATGTTCCAGAATCTCCTTCTGGGAATTGGTGCAAGATTTGGAAAGTGGAAGAGAAGCAGCACCATTAGTCTCTTAAGATGGTCACTGATGAGGTAACAGATGTAGAGGAACCAGGAGACTCTGGTTTATCCTTAATCTTTCCCTCTTTGTGTCCAGTTTAGTTTTTTTTTTTCCCAACTGTAACTCTGCTGACTAACAGCGGTTCCGTGCCCACCACCAGACACTTGGCTCTGGACCTACTGAAGAGGTAGCTATGCAGAATTAACAGCCTTTCATGGATTCTTCCATCAGCTCCCGTTTGTGGTCCACACTGGCAGCTGAAGATGCACGGTTTCTTTCTCATATCCCTGGAAAGCATCAATTTATCCATTCCCGTCAATGGTTCGGAGTCCCTTGGTGGTGCAAATGGTTAACATGCTTGGCTGCTAACCAAAAGATTAAAAGTTTGAACCCACCCGGAGGCACCTTTGAAGAAACGTTGAAAAACCAGCCATTAAAAACCCCTTGCAGCACAGTTCTACTCTGACCCAAATGAGGTCGCCATGAGTTGGAATCAACTCGATAGCAACTACCTTAGTTTTGGTATATCAGTGGTTCAGGACAATTGGTCAGTAACTTTTCTTTGATCTGTCAACTCCCCCTGGCTGGACACTTACTCTTCCAGCTTCTCTCGCAGTTGTGTTATTCCTATCATAAATTCTTATTTCATAGTTCTCATGGTGGTTCTAGTGAGTTTGAGGAATCATGCTTCTGTGATAGGCCTCCTCAGGTGTAGCACAGAAGACTTAATTTACATTAGCAACTCCACATAACTTACAACTGCTAAGATGACTTTGATGTGTCTATTACTGTGATTGGAGTACTGTCAGCATATGTCACAGGCAGTTATGAGGATAATCTCAGGAAATATCTTCAGTTACAAAATATAAATCGACAGTGTGTGTAGATCACACCATTAACAATTAATGTTTGAATAAGGTCAAACAAACTTATTTGAATGTCTCTTGCCTCCTATTGGCTCTGTGATTTTGGTAAGTTACTAAATTTTCTAGTAATGATTTGCTCACTAGTAAAACACGGATAATTACAGTATTTGCCTCAGAGGACTGTTGTAATGATTAAATGAGATAGCGCATGAAAAGTACTTAGCAAATATGGAGATAAATAAAAAAGCTTGTTAATTTTTAACTATTATATATTAGACTTTTCTAGCCACCTATATGTAAAAAGGAGCCCTGGTGGTCAAGTGGTTAAGAGCTCTGGCTGCTGACCGAAATGTCAGCAGCTGGAATCCACCAGCTTCTCCTTGGCAACCCTACGGGGGCAGTTCTATTCTGTCCTATAGGGTTGCTATGAGTTGGAAGCGACTCGACAGCAACAAGTTTGGTTTTGGTTTTATATGTAAAAACTATTCAGTCTTAATTACTGTAACGTCACACATTTCTTGCACATGTAGAATTCTTACCATATTCTTTCACCTCGAAAGAGTGCTCTATTTTTTTCCCTGACTCCTTCTGCAGGACGACCTTGTAGGGACCCAGAATGGGCTCCACTGAGAGTGGGAGAGAGAGCTGGATGAGCCCTCCTTGCAGTTTGAGACTTTGCCATTGGAAAATTCTGTTCTTCTTGGGGTTCTATAGATGAAAATATTATGAGTTCATATAAACAATCGAAATACAGTTGAAATACACGTATGTATTTTTGAGTGGTGGACAACTTTTTAGGTAAGAATGATGCTGGGTGTTACATAACAGATGGTTGGTAAATTGCACCAAAAAGTATTAGTAAAGTTTCCTAGGAATTCTAGACCGGGAATAGGGCAATAAGTTTACCAGATATGAAATATTACAGATAATATTTCACACTGGTCCATCGTTTTGAAATTATGCTTATCCATTTTGTTCAAAAATACTTGAAGAGTCACTAAACGGTATCATCTTAGAGGATTTTTGTCCCTTCATTTACATCTTATGGATTTCTATAAAGGATTTAAGATAGACAAGGAGAATGGTTTTTGTTTAGTTTTGGTGAAATAGTATGTGAGAGAAAGAGAGGAAGAAAGGCAATTTAACGTAACCTGTAAATTTTCATTCCAACTGAGATATACCTACCTCAGTATATATCACCTACCTCAATATAAACCAATGGGAACTGAAAAGAAAGAACCAAATAGCATGTGTGAGATACAACTTAGAAAGAGAAAACCATGACAGCAGCAGTGACAAAGTGTCTGGACCAAAAGAAGTGATCTCTTTATTTCTTGTTTAAATAAGGAAATGTCCCCCTGTTTGGTTCACAGCACTTTATATGTTTAGTCTTAAGAAGTCATGACTTCTCTTTTGTGATATAAAGGATGATTGAGGAAACATAATGAGATTAAAAAGTTTAATATTTTGCAGACAGTATTTGTCTGACAGAAATCCAATATACTTGTCATTTCTTTTGTTCAATAAAAAGAACTGAGATCTTTAAGCCGACAAGTCATGTTTTAAGCAACTTCAACTGAATATTTAATTTATTTTAAGAATGCAGTTGATGAACTGTCTTGATCCTGAGCTCCCTTATTCCTCCAGCATCTCTGTGGTAGATTTAAGTATCTCTTATATAGGTCTTAAGTTCGCCAAATTAATAGGACTTAAACTTTTGACCATTTCCCCCAACCTCATCGGCTGTTATGAGACTCACCATTTCATTCAAAGGGTGCAAACTGATATTCACAGAGACAATGCGGAATCTCACTGAAATACAGAGATTTTTCTTATGAGACCCTCCATCAGGAACCCAGGGTAATAACACAGACTAAAAACACACCAGGATTTCAGTGACTAGAGGATAAAGTCAGAAAAGGCCCACTCCCCATAAAGTTGCTCTTGCTCATTAGGTTTTTTATACCTGTTTGTCCTGGTTTATAGATGGGTTTGTCTGTCTGAACAAAGACTAGGCTCTCTGCTTTTGTTATGTGCATTGGGTTCCTCTTTGTGAACTGTTGGGTTGGCCCCTTCACCTGCACAGTGATATATGCCAAGGAGGTTGGGAACTCTGGAAGCTGTAAAACAGAAAGAGCTGAAGAATCTGCACAGATCCACTTCAGAATGATGTCTCAGTCTTTATGATTTTCTCAGTTAACATGGTTAGTTCTATGAGAATTACCAAGGGACAAGGCCAAGGACATGTCCTCTGTTTTAGAAATTGATTATTAAATTGATTTAATTAAAGAGAAAAAACATCATTTCAATAAAATGAACTAATTCTTCAATGCAGCCATGTCAGTGAAGGAAATATCATGCTTGCAATTTCACAGCAGTGATGGTGGTATTATAATAAGTATTAAACTTTATTTTCCATTGACCAACAACAAAATAATATGTCGTTATTGGTAGTAAGCCAGTGTGATTAATTAAACATTTAATACTCTAAGTGATAAAAGGTGACAAGGACAATGCATCAATCTTCAAGCATCTGTGAGGTCTTAGACAAGTTATTAACTTAATGTATCTCAGAGTTTTTATCTGTAAAATGAGAATAATAGCACAAACATTATGTACCTCAGAAGTTTAAGATCAGACAACACCCTTCCTATTACTTCTACTATCTTTCATCTATTGCACTAGATCTCTTTGTAAATACTATATGAACATATTCAGTAGATTCTTAGAATCTAATTAGAAATTCACTCTGTAATCCTCATATTCTCTTCATTATGCTTTTTTGTTGTGGGGGTCAGAACATAAGGCATCAACTGATATACTCTTTCTCTACTAATCTCCACCATTTCAAAGAATGATACTCACGATGAAGGAGCTGCAGAAGAAGGTGTCCTTTTCTGCCACCTGGTTCCTGAGGAGGTTCCAGTTTTGCACTCCAAACTCCAGAGTTATGCTCACTGTCACCGTCTCATTCAGGTGATTCAGTATGACACAGGCCTTCTCAGGGACCCCAGTATAGAGCTCTGATGGAACCAGCACCACATACTGTCTGTGGCGGGAAAGAGGAGTCTGAATCAGCCATGGAGGATGATAAAAGATATTATTATTAAGACTGTTCCCTAGACAATCTTTGCTATTGTCACTGTTAAGGATTGAATTGTGTCCCCTGAAAATGTGTGTCAACTTTGCTAGGCCATGATTCCCAGTATTGTGTAGTTGTCCTCCATTTTGTGATCTGATACAATCACCTATGTGTTGTATATCCTAACCTCTATGATGTTAATGAGGCAGAATTAGAGGAAGTTATGCTAATGAAGCATGACACAGTCTATAGCATTAGGTTGTATCTTGAGTAAATCTCTTTTGAGATATAAAAGACAGAAGCACCAGA